AAAAAAAAAAAAAAAAAAAAACCTCACAGTGATCAAAACTTGACCTTTGGGAATTTATATATTGGATTTAAAAGTCTGTAGCTAAATGGAACACCAAATTTAAGTCTCCTATTTCTATAAACTGTGCCAAATATACGACTTTGTCATTTCATCATACAAATTAAGTGTGCACTTTTTAAAATCAGTAAGTGTATCTTAGAATAACGCATCACCATGAATTTCTCAAGATTTGTGGTTTGCTAAACATTATGCTAGCAGCTTAGAGAAGGAGATTAAGACCGATCCCTGGCCTCAAAAAGTCTGCAGTCTAGCTGTGGAGAATGAAGACTAATACACTTCAGAGCAAAATGGGCTCTCAGTATGTACTTCTGTGCTGTGCTGGGTGACAAAGATTGTCAGCACTCTTTTTTAGAGGAATTAGAGAGATTAGGAGCTGGGGTATCAGTGAAGGTGGCATTATTTCTGATAGAACAGTGTGATTTTCAAGAGCCAGCCTTTGATGGCTAACAGGCCTGGGGTTGAATCCATGCCCAGCCACTAGTCAGCAGTGGAAACTTTGGGAAAGTTAGCTGACCTCTCTGATTTTCAGTTTCCTCATTTGCCATATAGTAATAGAAAGAATATCTTAAGAGGCTTTCTAGAAGATTGAATGAGTTCTCGTTCCACTTTCAATAAATGAGAGTTATCTCCTTCATTGCAATCCCCTTCGGTACCAGACCTCCAAAGATGGAGAGAGACATTGTCAATGGGCACAGATTGAAGCCAGCATTTTCCCTAAGAAAGGGGAAGGCAAAAGGAGTGAAGGTATGGAGATAGAAAGGAGCCAAATGTTTTACTTCTAGGCTAGGAGGACAAGCATAGAGAGCAGCTCTTCAAATACTTAGGAAGAGAAGATCGGATAAAGATGGTGGGACCAGATGATGGCAACAATCTTTTGTGACTGTCATCAAACCTTGTAGGTCAGTGCTGGGAAGATAACATGCCCTGAAAGTTGCTGGAGAAGAAGGTCCACATATGATGACGAGGGCAAGAAGATGGTCAAACGATATTTGCTAATTGATTGGGTTGCAAAGTAGAAAGTAAAGCTGAATCTTAATCTTACCTTTATACTGGTAGCCCATTCAGCATTTTTATTATAAAGCTTCCAACATACAAGTAACACCCATGCCAGCTACATTTGAACTGTTTCTTGGAAACCCGTTTCTCCTTGAGTCTCCCTAACATTTCTGTAGACTCTAAATAGAGTAAGAATAATGTATCCACATTTTTCTCTATAGACCCCAACTCAAATAACCATCAACTTACAGTCATAGCAAGACAGATGAAGCCAGGTTTCAACTGTGAGATGAAATCAATCAGTGAAAAGTTGTTGTTTTTAAAGAGTAAACTTTTTCTGTATCGGTAAGAGAGAAGAAATCCAAAGCCACGAACAGAAAAATTGTCTGACTTAGGATGTAGACTGGAGAAAAAGCATTACCTCTACAAGGAGACTCTGGGGCTTTTCAATATTTAGGATACTAGTATTTATCTTTTTAATTCCCAAAAGGGATTTTTAAAAAATCCAAGGATAGGATTAATTATCTTGGAATTGTCTAATATCTACTCTTATGTTTGAATCTGCAAGCAGGGAGACGTTTTAAACATGAAAAAAAGGAGAAAATCTCCCCTAACAAATAAATGCCTTGAAACATTAGATATTAGTACTAGTCAAGTGTTCTTTCTTTTTGGAAATATTAAAATTGCATATTAGAATGAAAGGATCCTTAGACTGTGCTCCTGCCTAATGCCACAAAAAATAAGACTTTAGGAACAATTTTAGAAACAAAAGATTATATGAAACATCCAGCTCTTCCCCTTATGGGAAATTTCTTTTTTTAACATCCAAGGCTCAATCATTTCCTAATGTGAAATTACAGATTTTTCAAATTACCATATAAAACTGCAAAAAAATTACACTTGTGACCGCAGAAGAGATAGCATATATTATCAATTTGATTTTAAAAGGTATACATCTTTTATACTACCTGTCATTTTTATAATGCCTTTTACAAATTTAATCAATACATTTTAACATTCTATATACTTTAAGTGCAATATACAATAAATATTCAAGTTTCATCTTAAACATGCTTTAGGCTTTAAATTGTTAAAACTGCAGTGCCCTTTCAATCTACTTACATAATGTCATAAAATATACATTTCAAGGTAAATGAAGTCAGCTACTTCAATTTAGTCCCTCAAACTGGTAGTAAATGAGAGGTTAACACTATGGTGCCAAACCCATTATTGAGTAAATTTAGCACCTTGGACAGCTCTGTAAAATCTTTATTGCTTTCCTGACCTGCTCGTCATGTTCTGTCTGTGTGTTCAGTGGCTCTCAGCTCTGATTGAAAGGCAATATATTAGATCCCCAACACAAACACGCTTGGGGGCTAGTTCACTGGGAGCGTAATGACATGGAGGTGAGAGCAATTTTCTGGTCACCGAAATCCAAGCACCTTGCAGGTTCATTGCACTAACTCATAGAGGACCCAGAAATTTCCTTTCTCCTTCCCATTTGCAGAAATAACTAATAGAAGCTGAATCACATGGGCAAAGCTGAACCAAGTCTTTCTTAAATCCTTACAAGTTGATACTACAGTGAAGGATATTTTATAATGGGCAAGATATTATTTAAGGGTGTCCTTTCCAGTACAAAACATCCAGGTTCATGCTTCTCAAATCCAAGACTGCTGGCCTGCAGTGATGCTGTGCTGATGACCTACCTATGGCTATGTCCTCAACAGAAAAACATGCCCCAGCATGGTGGATCAAAGAAGGATGCTACTTTAGGAAAGAAGACGTATTTTATTTTCAAAGGATTACATGGGGATGAGAGCTCTGGATATCAATATAAGGAGGAAAAAAAAAGAAACAAGTACATTACATCATTGAAAAACTTTATCACCAACAATATATAATATATACTGATAGATGGAATTTTTTCAGACTTATGAAAACTTCAAAGATCTTGGAGTATAATTTTGAACTCCCTCCTCCCTGCTTCTGTGAAATTAATTAAAATAAGGAGCATTCCTCTAAGTCCCCAATTTTAGTGTTACAAGAGCCAAGTTCACAAGTGCAGTTTCTTTCAGTGCCACGTCATGCTTTTGACAAACAGGAGACTTGTCCCCCACCTTCCCCCATAAAATGGAAAGAAAGGAAAATACCTTCCCTGCCAAGCTCCAACACTGGGATAAATATTTATTTGGAGAAATAAATGAACATAGGCCTAGCGAAGTCAAATCTTAGTAAATAAACTCACTTGATCCTGTTTTGTTTTCATCTTTCCTAAGAGCCAGATAAAGCCATGAGGTTTTAGTGAAGGCAACACAGGCTGAATTTGATCTGGGGATAGGATATACTGTGCCCATACCATAGTAAATTATTAACTTCTGTGGCCAGACAATACTGCAAACAAAAAGTGGTAAATTAGCTTGTAGCTTATATTAAATAATAAAGAAATGATTTCAGATGTATTGGCTGAAACCCCTCTGATTATATAATGTTCTTTACTCCCTACATGAAAAATAACTAAACTGTTTCATAAAGGGGGTCTATCAGCTTAAGGCAAACATAAATGTTTATTGAGAGCTGTAAACCCCTCTATCTTATTTTTGAATTTAGGACATTAGGTATGTCATAAGTAGTTACTGTAGTATGACAACTACTTTATCTTATATTATAGAGAATTTAAAATTGAAAAATGCTAATATGTATCTAAAAGCTTGTCATTTCAAGAGTTGTTCAAGGATTTTTGAAGAGGCTATGGTGACAGCAAAATGAATGCGATTATCTCCCTATTTTCTGATCAGTGTCTCAGTCTATGAAAATTGAACAGCACTGCTTCTCTATGTGGAAATCTATTGTGTAAAATATTTAAAGTTAAACTTCTGTTGGAAACTTTACCCACAGCCAGAAATGTTAAACGTATCTTCCTGCAAATCACCTCTGATGATCATATCACACCCTTAGGTTTGATTCTCCGATAAGCCCCTGCTTTTACATACATCAGGCTTAACTTTGCTTTCCTTTTCACATTCTAGTATAAATAAATCTGCAGAAATTGTAGAAAATTAGGGAAAAAGGAAGAGAGAATGATTTTAGTTAGAACCAAAAATATTAGCACCACACTCACTTTTGTAGAGTACTCCCTATTATTAGAACCAAGCATGCAAGCTAAATATGGAAGCCCACCTAAGTAAAAAGAGGGAGTTTTTTTTTTTTTTCAACTGGAATGAGCAACTGAGCATATATCTAGGATGAGAATGAATGAGTAAATGGGAGAAATGACAAACAATACTGAAATAGCAAATCATTTCTATAAAAGAAATAGACACTGCCAGTTATAAAAATTGGTGCAGAGGAGGCTTCTGAGGACAGTAGAGTCCTTTGTACGAGTTTTTGACAGAGAGTACACTGCCTCAGTATGTGGGTTTCCTAAATCACCCTCTTATATTATGGCTTTGCTTCCAAGAGAGATAAACAAAAGAAGTTTAATACTACATGCTTCTAGTAGCTGAAGATTGATTGGAAATCCCTCGAAAATGACCTGTCTGATAAGGTCATGTTTCCCCGAATAAGCAATTAAGTGCAAAATAAACACATCTTAGGGGCTCATACCATGCACTGAATGACATCGATTGTAGTAATCTAGTAAATGACCTAGGAATTGTATTCAGCAATAAACATATGAGTGCTTTATCATGCCTATGGCAGACTATTGAGTGATGTATTTTATCTTGCGGTACCAATGATGCTCACCTTTTGACTCAATTAAGTGTGTATGTGAACAGGGATAAATTGGTGATTTAACGCCATTCTGGGGTTCCCCAAGCTACGGCCTAATTTATAGCGGTGCCTTGGCAAAGTATGGCCAGAGGGACTGGAACGTGATCATGTCAAAAGATAATGACAACCTGCCTTCACTCAAAGGATCGTATCTGCTTTTCTCTCGACAGGAAGTGATACTCAAAAGGGCTGCGGATCTGGTAGAAGCACTGTATGGGATGCCACACAACAACCAGGTGAGCGCTGAGCGTTTCCAGCCTGTGTGGACTTCCGCATGCAATTAAAGATCTCAGATTCTGTACCGTAATGAGAAAGCACAAAAAAATATCAAAGCCATGTGCATGAGTTAAGAGTATCAGATATAACATGTTGCAAGACTGGTCAATCCTTCTTTCGTAAACCTTTTATTGCCCTTTCTACTGAATCATTTTCCATATGAGAAAAGGTGCTCCATTTAAAACTAATCTTTAGTGAGAACATACTTTATAATTGAAGAGGAGAGTTACTGGTGCTTTATTTATCTCAGGTTTTCAAGCAAATTTAGGAAGAGAAAGAGGGTTTAATTTCTTCTCCTAAAAAGTATAACAAGGCCTGAATAGTGTTGTCTGCTTCTGTTCATAGAACTCCATGTATAGGATTCACATAGTTTAGGAAAAAATCTGACAAACCATTCACTCCTTGTTCATGTCACCTGAGTCAATGTCTGGGGGACACATTCCCATTAATACTCGGGAATGCAGGTAGCCATCTGCGACCTTCCCTTAACATCAACAGGGGCGATGCATTGCAGCCTCCCTTTCTCTCTTTCTCCCTCTTTCCCTGGGTAACCTCAGAGTTCCTACATGTCATGGGGAAGGATGGACAACCCCACGGTGCTGTCATGTATGGACCGTAGGGGTAAAGTGAAGGCATAGTTGAGATAATGGACTTTCAAAGTCAGACAAATAGGGTTATGAATCTCAGCTCTGTTCTTAAATAGGTGAGTGTCCTTAGGTGGGGTTTTCTAATCTCCAAGCCTCAGTTTCCCCATTTGGGATATGGGCATGATGATGGTGAGACTAATGTAGCAGTTTGTCAGGAGGGTCACAGAAGTTAATGCAGCTGACCATTGAAAACCCTGAGCACAGTGCCTGGAACTCGAAAAATGGTATTATTAGAAATATGACTGGGGGTAGCTGAAGGGGATATTCCTTTGACTTTTCAGGAAATCATTCTGAAGAGAGCGGCTGACATTGCAGAGGCCCTGTACAGTGTTCCCCGCAACCACAACCAACTCCCGGCCCTTGCTAACACCTCGGTCCATGCAGGGATGATGGGCGTGAATTCGTTCAGTGGACAACTGGCCGTGAATGTCTCTGAGGCATCGCAAGCCACCAATCAGGGTCAGAACTTGCTTTTCTCTTCTCTCCCCTTTTCCCTCTCCCTTCTCAACCTTGAGCACCCCATCTCCTCATTTATTGGTGATGAACAATTTTTATATTAAAAAATTATTTTCATCCCCAAAGGGAGATTCTTAGTTTGTGTGTGTAAGATAGTATTGTACAATGTTGGCCCTAGCTATCACGTCTGGTAATCTAATATAGGGGGCTAGAAAGGATGCATGCATTTAGCCATCTCTCTACATTTGACTTTTCACCATAAACCATGAATGACAGATCGCAAAGAGGAATGGAATTAAAGTTTTGAGGGCCCAAAGCACATCATTCTTGCTCAGGGAATAGGAACCTGTTAACTCCAGGGTACATCTCTGAGATCGGGATTTATTTCTGCTCTAAAATGATAATTTATAGGCCCAGCATTGCCACCTCTCACGGCCCTGCTAAGTATTTATGATCTCCTAAGAAATGTGTCTTTTGCTCGCTTCCCATTTTAATCACAGAGCTAGCACCACCAACCCACGTACATGAATCACCCAATCCCTTCCCTCTGGGTTGCTGCGAGGGGGCCAGAAACAGAGACCTTCCTTTCCCCAAGTCTTCCAGGACTGGCCCCCCTCACCCCCGTTTTGCCCCCACCCCTCAGGTTTCACCCGCAACTCAAGCAGCGTATCACCACACGGGTACGTGCCGAGCACCACCCCCCAGCAGACCAACTATAACTCCGTCACCACGAGCATGAACGGATACGGCTCGGCTGCCATGTCCAATCTGGGCGGCTCCCCCACCTTCCTCAACGGCTCAGCTGCCAACTCGCCCTATGCCAGTAAGTAGAGATGTGTGTCCTGTGTTCCTGCACGTTTTGCTAGAAGAACTTGGCATCGTACCATGTGGCCCACTGGGCAGGGCTTCTCAATCTGAGGACCTCCATCTTTCCATCCTGCAAGGCACAGCCCTGGGTGATACTGCTAAAGGCACCATCACCTCCAGCGGGAATGTTTGCTCTCCAGTGCTCACCTTCCTTCCTACAAAACCTCTCTAACAGTCAGACTGTTGCTGCCATCCAAAGCAGCTGTATGAGGTCGCTTCAAGAACCCATGCTCAGAGTCAGATGGAGATGGGTTGACTCCCACTTCTACCACTTACCACCGGCTACTCAGGAAGCTGAGGCAGGAGGTTTGCTTGAGCCCAAGGCTACAATGACCCATGATTGTGCTACTGCACTCCAGTGCCTGGGTGACAGAGCAAGACCCTGTGTCAAAAAAAAAAAAAAAAAAAAGCAAACAACAAAAAAACCCACAAACAATGAGGACACCATATTTGTCATCTACTTAAGCCCAAAACATCTATTAGTTTTTCATCTGATCATTTTAGCTATATAAAAGGTGGCAAATTCTTCTCCTCTCTAAGCCTCAGTTTTCTCATCTGTAAAATGGAGAAGGAACTAGCACCCACCCCATCCGGTGCTGTGAAACATAGTGAAGATAATCCATGTAGTCAGCCTGTCCTGATGCCTGGCTCACGGAGGCACATTCAGTAAATCTAATGATCATAATGATGCAAAGATGATAATATGTGATGGTGTTGGTATAACATAGTAATAATAGTCTAAAAGTTAACCTCTCTCCCTTCAGGAATATGACTCCTTTATTTTTTAATGTTTGAATTTTTCCCCTTTGTTTGTATTTAATGTATACTCAAAACAACAAATCAAAACATACTTTATTTTTTCCAGAAATCTGGCAAGATTTTAAAAATAAAAAGAAATCCACATATATATACAAAAAATATTCTTTGGTGTCTCGTCCCTGCCTTAAAGAAGTTGGGCTTAAAAAATTTTTGGTACATTTATATTGCTTCTAAAGAACGTGAGAGAACTGGACTTCTTATCTATAAAGGTCATGACCCATGTCCTCAGAATTTCCTGATCTCTCTCTAAAATGAAGTTCATCTCGGACATTGTGAGTGACTCTTCTGATGTATAAAATGGGGCCAAACTCTTAGATATTTGTAGAACGATAGATGGATGTGCCATTAAATAAAAGAATATTAATGATTTCTTAGAGTCTTGGCCAAAATACTACAAATGATGCCCTCTCTCACAGTTAAAATGTGGATTGTGCTATTTCTTTCAAAGAGGAAAGATCATTCTTGCCCTTTAAGAGAAGTTATTTCTGAAAATGTACTTAGGGACTTTTACTTCTGGGTGAATTTTTCTGCTCAGGGTCCACAAAATTATACATCTCTACCTTATTTGTTTGGAATCAACAGTTTGTTGAACATTTACAATTCCCCAAATAGTCTGCATGTATTATGTCTGTCTACTCACGAGTCAGTGTTTAGGATCAGGGTCACATTAGATTTTGACTTATCAAAAGGTTGTTTCTTATACAGATCTATCATTCCAGTGTTCTCCCATTTATTCAATCAGAAAATGTTTCGATCATGACCTGAAAATTAAAAGGTGGCATTCTTAATTAAATCAATAAACTAATTGCTATATGGTAGCAATTCAATTTAGGAGCTTGCCTTGCTCTCCTCCTCAAGTCTGTGCAGACACTCAGCAGCTTCAGCCTGCGACTGCATCTGTCAGACTGTGAAACTTTGAACATTTAATTTCCATTAATTGATTTTCTCAGTGCTCACAAATATAGTATTAAATTCTCAAATAGGCTCTCAGATGAGACGGTTTTATCTGCAAAAATGCAAATAAAACAATAAACACAAAGCCCAGTTGATTTGAATTTTTGCCTCCGTAATATTTAATTATTCATAAAGCACTCATGTTGAAAAATTCCGATGGAATAAAAAAATAAGGCATTCCACTGGTGAACACACTTTCTGGTGTGGTGGCTGATAACTAATAATGTTATAACAAATGGAGCTGCTCGACTGTATTTTACCCCTTCCTCTGTTAACCGCCCCGCCAAAACTCCCCACCTCTAAATACACATAATGATCGCATTTGCCAATGAGATTAATTGCCCTCCTCAGTGAACCAGCAGGATTTCAAGCCTAGGAATATTTAAAAATCAAACCTCCCGTGCAGGAGTTTTGCAATTTAAATGGGTGTTATTATTGAGCGTATTTTCGCATTTACAAATCCTCAGAGATGTATAAAAATGCTGGTCTCATTAAAAGAAAAAGTACAGTTTAGAAAAGTGTCTGTGAAAACTCTGAGGATGGTGACTCTGTGTTCTGCCCCATAAAGCACTCAGTGTGTGTGGATTGGGTGGTGCCTCGGGCTGATTAGAAGGGGTCATTTTCCCCCGATGGCAATTGCCGTCTATGACCAATTGGATTCCCACTTTCCTAACTTTCCAAAGAATAAGGCCACCCTAACAGCTCTTTGGACTCTGATGGGCTCATGGGAACGAGGCTTTTCCCACTGGAGATCTGTTTCCTTTGCAGGGTAGCTTAGCAGAGAGAGCTCTGAATTTGGATGTGATTCCTGGCCTCAGCACATTCTAGTGATGGCCCTTGGGCAAGTTCCTACACTACTTCATGAATCCCAGCTTGCTTCGCTGGCTCAGGTGTATAAAATATGTGATAAGCCCTGACTTTAGGTTGCATTTCCCATGACAAGATGAAAAAGATGTGAATATTCTTATGAATGATAAAATAATACTTGATGTTTAAGTTGCATGATAAAATAATAAAATAGAAGAAAATATCTAGAATTTGAATTTACTGCCTGAAAATTATTAGACAGGATACATATTTTCCTGCAGGAAATGGAGGAAATAGAAAGTGAGTGTATACGAATATTAGTCTTGACTTAGCGTATGTAAAATCTCTGTCTCCTAAAGTAACCAAGAGATTATTAGCCTGGAGCGAAAGAGGAGAGAGAGTCTAGGCCAAGAGAATTATGGTCAGTAGAGAATGTACATCTACCAAGCTCTTTCATATCCCCCAGCTGCTAGGTTTTCTCTGAGTTGCCAAAGTTCTCCCATCATTGGTTATCTGCATCCCTACTACTACCAAACTGTGAGTATTTATGTAAGACTCCCATCCTACTGCTTATTATTTCCCAAACATTCATGTATAGCTCCATGGGAGATACAAAGAATTTGGAACTTGGACTTAAGAGTTCTGCATTTTTCACAAATGCTGCATGTGGCAGTCTGGTGGCCATCCTCTCAAGCTGGCTTCTTTCTGTTCCCCCTATCCCCACCCCCTTTTCTAGAACCTTACTTTAGGCTCTACCTGGGATGCATCCCCTGACACCTCTTCTATGAAGTCTTCTCTGATATCCCTTCCCTGCCTCCACTGAGATGGCTATGTTCACCTTTGTCACTGTTTTGTGCTACTTTATCCCTCATAAGAAGGGGTTGCACTTTTGTTTCCTGGCCTGGAATACTCTGAGGATGGCAGCTCTGTGTTCTGCCCCATGAAAGCACTCAGTGCATTTGGATTGGTTAGTGCCTTGGGCTGATTGACCAGGGGTTATTGTCCATTAATGGCAATTGCTGCTGATGACCCCACAGTAGTCCCACAATAAACACATAAAAAAGAGAACCCCGTCAATGAAAGGTAGCACATGCTAAGTTCTGTATAATGAAAGTGGACAAGAGCCTGAGAGTTCAGGGAAGGTTTGTACGGGAAGATTCATGCCAGAAGCATCATCTGAGCAGGGCAGAGCAAGGTGGCTAGGTGAGGGTTGGATCTGAGCTTCTTTGCTTCAGGATGCCATGAGCAGCCCTGATCTTTCCTTTCCCATTGCCCCTTTCAGTAGTGCCATCCAGCCCCACCATGGCCTCCTCCACAAGCCTCCCCTCCAACTGCAGCAGCTCCTCGGGCATCTTTTCCTTCTCACCAGCCAACATGGTCTCAGCCGTGAAACAGAAGAGTGCTTTCGCACCAGTCGTCAGACCCCAGACCTCCCCCCCTCCCACCTGCACCAGCACCAACGGGAACAGCCTGCAAGGTAAGCCCCAGGCCCCACCTACCAATCCAGATCCAATGCCTTGACTTCACTCTCCCAGGGCCTGAAGCAGATGCATCACTGTTGCTGAGGGGATCAGCCTCAGGCCTGCTTGCTTCTCTCTGCCCTCATTTCTTTTGTTTCTTTGTGTTTGTTCTCCTCAGACCTTAGCCCTGGCCCTTAGCCCTACTCATCTCTCCTCTGCTGGTGGTGCTCAAGAAGTCCTCTTTCCAACTCCAGCAATTCTGCTCAGGTCCGGGATTTGCTTGGGAATACCATTTCTACTAACTAACAGCATCATTTCTCTTTTCTCCTCTCTCACTCCCTGTTGTCGCCATTATCAGATCAGTCTTTTGTGGACTCTAGCAAGTTCTCCAGTGCAGGGTCTCTCCCGGGACTGGCCTTCTCCTGAAGTAGGTCACTCAACCTTCCCTTCCTGTTGCCTGTGTCAGAGTGAACGTGTGTGGGGCTGATAACAGGGAGGGGGTGAGCCATAACCTGATCAGAGCCCTGCATTTAGAGCATCATAGACCAAAAGCCAAAGACTTCCTACTGGGATTAAGAAACGGCAGAACACCACTAGACTATTCTGGTTCATATCAAAATTGTTCAACCATTTTCCCACCATGGAATATGGAAAATAAAATAGTTACTAAGTGTTGAGATGACATTTTCATTCGTTAAGAATAAAAAGTTACCCATTTTTAAAAACTGAGCATACCATTTCTTACATTTTTCTTATGAACTCAGCACTGTGTTGTGTGTCCTATGTTGAGACCTGCACAACCTCATTCATTGCCCCCAGCAGGATTGTGTGGTAGGTACTCATAGCCCCTAATTGACAGATAAGAAAACTAAAGGTTAGAGAGGTTATAAAATTGCCTGACTTTTAACAGCTGATACATGGCAGAAGCTGGCTTCAAACTCAGACTCAAACATTAATCTCCTAAATACTTTATTACTCAGAGCAGGTAAAAGAGACATAGCCAGGATTCCTGAGGCAGGTGGTAGGGAAATAAGATTAATAAACTAACCACTATTTACTGAGCACTGAACAGTACACCTGGAGCTGTTCTATGCATGGAGCAGACTATATGATTTAATCCTCACATCTTCCTCAGATATGAGGGCTATTCTGATCTTCATTGTACAGATGATAACAACATGGACGCTTATGGAGGGTAAATACCTGACCACAGACATAGTTGGAAAATGGTGGAGATGAATGTAAGGCCCATCAGGGTCTGTGCCCTTAAGCCCAGCCATACAAAGTTTCCCACAGTGCCTTCCCTTCGTGGTTGGCATCTCACTGATAGAGGTCAGCCTGGAGGTCAGGGAGGGGTGAGGAGGGCAGTGCACATTTCTGGGATGTCTCAGCCCTGTTTCTGATGTACAAGTACACGCCTATTTACACTTAACTACACACACTCTGTGCTGGATGGTTTACATTGTGGTAAGCATGTAGTAATTCTCCTGAAGACCCCTCGATGTCAGTACTAGTCCCACTGTACAGATGGGAAACTTGAGGCTCAATTTGATTCAAGTCACGTGGTTAATAAACAGGGCAGCCATGGTGGAGCATGGTGGTTCATACGTGTAATCCCAACACTTTGGGAGTCTGAAGCAGATGAATCATGAGGTCAGGAGTTCAAGACCAGCCTGACCAACATGGTGAAACCCCATCTCTACTAAAAATACAAAAAAAGTAGCTTGGTATGGTCGTGGGTGCCTATAACCCTAGCTACTCAGGAGGCTGAGGCAGGAGAATCACTTGAACCTGGGAGATAAGGTTGCGGTAAAATGAGATCATGCCACTGCACTCTAGCCCAGAGTGACAGAATGAAACTCCATCTCAAAAAAAAAAAAAAAAAAAAAAAAGTACAGCCAAAATGGAACCCAAGCCATGTGATTCCAGAGCCTGAGCACCCAGTCATTTTGTCTTTATTCCTCTAGAAGGACTTTATGAAACACTCCTTAGAACCCTGCTGGCAAATCTGCCCAGCACAGCCAGACTCAGGGCCCCACAGAGAACTCCGCTTTTCCCCACTCTAATATACGGTGGCAAATCCATCTCTTTAAAGGAAAGAGGACCTGCCTGTGCAACTACATTTCAGGCAATATTACTCATGATAGAAAACGCCCACCCCCACAAAGCAGAGCCACCTATTCCTGCAACTCTGATCCTCTTTCAGCTAAAAATAATGCTTTGTCACCCTCAGTACACCTCCAGCTGGCAAACTAGGGATATGATGCTTGAGCGAACATAACTTATAATAAGTTTAAATAATGATCATACATATGGAAAGCAGAAATTTACCATTCTTGAGCTGCCAATCTCAGCCCCTGCTAAACATAGATTTGACATCAGAAACAAGATATGATGGGGATTAGAATCAGCAGTTGAGGGGACGCACTGAGGAAGAAAAGGCCCCCACTATTGGAAGGTCAGTGGCTTACAGGCCAAAAGTGACAGAAGTGGGCAGCTCCCAGGAGGCCTGATGTCTTCCCATGCCCTGTAGTCCTAGGAGGGAGCAGGAGGTGGTTGGAAACAGGGACTGGGCCCAGATCTTAGGATCTCCTGGGTTTCAGGAGACCTGGTAATCACCTGAAAGCCAGGATCTGGATGAGGTACGTGCATGTTTAAGTTATGATGAAACGGCTTCAGGACCTGTGTCCCTGACACATACAAAGTTTGTGCATTTGTCCTCCCAGGGATTTTCTAACCGAATTCTTACCCAATTACAGATCCCAAAAGTACAGAGACTATCCCCACTTCTCTGAATAGCTGCCAAGTCTGGGCCTCTGTGTCACCTTTCCTAACACAGGGCCACCGAGTAGGAGGTTTGAGGTCTGACTCAGGGACACACCTTGTGCTGGATTCCCTGTTGTGAATGACACTGCCCTTTCCTTCTGATTGAACATGTGTCACGGAGACTTTTCTCATGCCCTGACTATTGAGCATGATGAAACAACAACTATAAAAGGAATGGGCTGGGCATGGTGGCTCACGCCTGTAGTCCTAGTACTTTGGGAGGCCGAGGTGGGGGATCACCTGAGGCCAGGTGTTTGAGACCAGCCTGGCCAACATGGTGAAACCTCATCTCTACTAATGCAAAAATTAGCCGGGCGTGGTGGCGCTTGCCCGTAGTCCCAGCTATTCGGGAGGCTGAGGAAGGAGATTGCTTGGACCTGGGAGACAGAGGTTGTAATGAGCTGAGTGTGCACCACTGCACTCCAGCCTGGGTGACCGAGCAAGACTCCATCTCAAAAAAATAGAAAAAGTAAAAAGAATGATTTTTGTTTTGTCCATACTGTCATATACCAAATACCCTACTTTTGAGATGGCAGTAGTGATGGACATATGAATGGAGAAATTAAAGTCAAGTTAATGGAAACATCTCACTTTCAGCTCTTCTTCCTGCCCACTGCACCCCCAGGCGCTGTGAAGGCAGGTTGGGCCCACACTCTGGGCCTCGCCCCTTCACCTCTGCACACAATCTCCAGCAGGGCAAAGAGGACCCAGCCTTAGGTGGTCAGCACCATTTCTCTGGGCACTCTTGCTTGGGCCATAGAAGTGTCCCCGAGAAAGGTGACATTCAGACGGTGGGCTTCTAGAATTATTTCATCTTCAACTTTCCAAACTCTATGTCTACCATTAAAAAAAAATGGATGTAGGCAGGTTATAGAATTGGTGTAAGAATCTCTGAAGTGTCTTCTTCCACCTTTTTCCTTTCTAGAATTATTTCA